TGCAAGGAACCTATTTTCCATTGGGAAAAATATACTGGTTCTCTTAAAGATTAAAAAAATAATGTAGATTACCACATATGTATCTCTCTCTAGCATTCCTTGATGGCAAGTCTAAAGTTGGGGGGGGGGTCCTAAAAACTGGATCTACACCAAACAGAGAGGAGTCAACCCATTTTAAGCTTTCAATTTCACCAAAATTTCTTTTATTTTATCTACTTCAACCTGTATGGATCATTTAGGGATAGAGAGCCAAGCACACCATGGCACTAAACAATATGAAAATACAACCTCTCAACCAGCATTTACCTCAAGTCAGTAAGCCTTAAGCCTATATTCTGTAAATTCTCAAATAAATCAACTTTAGACTTAAAAATAAAACAGAATGTATCACTCATCAGTTGTTACATGTTACAAAGTGACCAATAATTGGGGGCAGTAGCTAGATCATATGGTCTTTCATGCTACTTTATTTTATCTTAAATTTTATGATAACATAAGAGCACAGAGTAACATGTGCATGCACAACGTTAGAACACTCCTATACAGATGGGAATCTGTCCACTAAAGTCATTTCTGTTAATTAAAAGTAAGAACATTAAAAAGGAGTTCTCACTTTCTCATGAAAACTTTGACTAAGGCAGGTTACTTTATTATTTTTGGCAACAAATTGCACGAGTCACAGGAATCCTAATTTTTTACCTTTTGTTTTCATTATATACTTTTTCATTATTTACTTTTAACGAATGTAATGGTCAATGAATCCCTACCACTGTTCTTCATCATATACTTTTTGTTTTCATTATTATGATTTATTTCTATAAGGCTAGTCAAAATACTCATCCAGTAACACCTTATGTGTAGAGAAAAGCTTTTCACATCATTTAAGCATATCAAAAACAATCATACCAAACACCTAAGTATTACTAGGAGCAGATGAGAGTTTAAAGGTCTTTGGGCATCTGGCCAATTCATAAATTGTCACTGTAATTTAAGAATTTTTTTTAAATCTTGTTTATAATAAAGAAAAAAATAACAGGAAAATGGGCATTGAAGCAAAGAAGATTCCCTGAACAATGAATAGATTACATATGACAAGAGCAATAACCTGCCCAATCATATCTTTTGCTCAACATTTGCTATAAATATACAGGCCAAGAGCAGAACAGTTCGTTGCTTTACCCCTCTGTGTGTTTAAGCTCCCCAGTCTAACCTGATATATTAAGACATACAGTAAAACTTTCCCTAGATTCCAAGGACTTACAGATTTCCCACAACTGATGAGAACTATCCCCCAGAGCTTATAAAATATTCTAATTCAGATATTTAAATTACCCTTTTAGAACATTTTTATTTCAGGGAGTCATTTTTCCAAATGACCAATCGTGGTGTCATTTTTTATCATAAATATAAATAAATATATATATATACAGTTCTCTCCTTGACAGAAAGAAGTGTTGTGCATATAGATTTTTAACAGTAAGATTTATACAATCTAAAGAGAACAGTCACAAATGCTTGGGAAATTAAATTTACATGTGCATTTATGAAATACAAGCAGTCAAGCTGTATTGTATCTGTTCCTATTGCTACTTACTTAATATAGCTTTTATTAAGAATTATTTTCTCCAGTGCTGGCTAGAAAATCCCTGCAGCATTTGTCATTTTCATAACACTGTAAGGTCAGCTCACTTTATTAAATAGTTATTGAGGATATTAAAAAAGGTAAATGCCATTTATCATAAATATTTGATAAACATGCTTATGTTGTCGATACATTCCAGTATTATGGGATATACCAAATGTTTACATTGGACTGAAAGACGACGATGTATAAATCTTGCATGGCCCCATTATATATGTTAATCAACATCAGTATTTTTACATCTTTTTGGAAATCGTTTTCTGCCTGAAAGAACTGCAATGCTTTGAAAACTAAAGTTGTAGTGCAACAATGATTTGTTTGAATAACAGAAATTTAATTGAAGAGCATATTATTTTCCATTCTGATTAAAAACCTAAAAACATTTCTTAGCTTGTTCAGTGAGCAAAAGCAAAAGACCAGGAAGCATTTAAATAACCACAAGAAGTGTATGTAATTTATTCAAACTTCAGATATAAAGCAAACAAGCTAGGAGATTCTGTGTTGTCTTCTAAAATACACTAAACAGTTGGTTTCAAAAGATGCATTTTTCAGAAGAGAACTTTTTATACAGATACTGCTCAGGAGTTTATCTTAGGTGGGGTAAAAAAAAGAGAGAGAGAGAGAGGGGAAAAAAAATTGAAGGAAGACTTCTATTAGCTCAATCCTAAAACTAATCTGTTGCATGTGTAATTTCTACACCAGGAAGCAACTTGCAGGAAACACTGAAGCTGAGCGCATGACAGCTGGAAATTGTTCCCCGGGGTATGATATCACAAAATGACTTTGCTATATTCCCCCTCCAGTCTGGCATCATGGCTCAGGCAGGAGCACAACCATCATGCCCCCAGGGCAGCTTCATGTCCTTAGATAAGAACCCACTGCCCCACCACTCTTCTGAAATCTTTTCACCAGAAGCACACAGCACCAGCTCGACCAGGACAAATCAGCCCCTATTCTCCCGGTGGTTTTTTTTTTTTTTTTTTTTCCCTCAATTTGTGCTCCTTTGCCTGGTAGGTTGTGAGTGACATTGTTAACAGAAACCACACAACTGGGTGCATTCACAAGTTTTCAAACACTCAGGCACACACCTTTAAATCCAATGTTCCAAGGTGGATTTACTGAGTTTACGTTATATAAGATCGCTCTTACTCTTTACTTTTATCCCCCGATGGTAGAATAACTTCAATACTCATAAAAACGCAAGAGAAACTTTCAGCACGATTTCCGTCAGTCCTTAGCTAAACCTGATAGTTAAGGTTTCACTCAGTATCCTAACTTGAAGTACCTAAACATATGCAATAATTACACAAACCTGTAGCAGTAACTTCATGATTTCTTAATCTATTCAATTATACGCAGAGAGGTTTCCAGTTCATTTTAAAAACCTGTTTTGCTTAGCATGCCCAATTTTATATGTATTTCCTTTGGCAAACAAAAGGGCAAAACTACCTTCCTGAAGGTGTTCCCCTTAGAAGCACAAAAACAGAACAGTATTCCTCTAGGCAACATGAATATTCCATTTCCAAACATCCTCTGGATGCTTATAAGAACTTTATCCCTAAAGTCTGACGTTTATTTCTAGTCAAAACACAAAACACCATCGCTAATCCAGTAACACACCCCGCAGTCCTAGTAATCATTGCCACCTATGATCCCTTTTATATCCATTTCCACCATGTATAGTTCATGATTCACAACTGATGATTTGGGGTAAATGCGAGATCCTTTCTAAATTACATATAATAAAGCGTGTGAAAATTGGACAATGGTATGGCTTAAAAGATTTTGTTTCAGAGTCTATAACAGACTAACATGTGCTGCAGTACAATGGTGTTGAGCTTTTGTGTTCCCTAATAAGACAGCTCCCAGCAGAGCGTTTCCCATGTTTTACAGTGACATCTATCAGCCAGACCCGGGGAATCCCAACGTCACTCAGCCTTCTTCAGCACCACTGTCTGAGAACAGCTTCTGTCCACAGAGTGGTGCAATCTGAACAGGTCTGGCGCACAAAGTGCATTGTTAAAATAGGGAAATGGTGGATAAGCAAAGCTCTTCCCTGTCATCAAAACCAAACCGTTAGGTATCCATTAACTGCAGGATATTAGCACTACAAATGCCAACCAGAAATTTAAGTTATTGGCTATCATCCAGTACATATTTGAAAGAACTGACACACTTTGCGTCACAGGCAGACAGAGCATGGCGTGGTGCTGAGTTTTGCAAGAATTCAATTAACCCAACCATCTATTAGATACATAAAGACAGGGGAAAAGCTACAGGGCATGTTAGAATGTATGGTGTGCAATCACGTTAATTCATGGTTTGAGAAGATACCTTGCTATGTTTTAGTGATTGTATGGTAATCAGGAAATTACATAGATATTTCGAACCTAGAAATTATTTTATGAATGGCATAAATGCAATGCCACCTCAAGCACATAATCAGCTAATTTCTCAGACCTGATCACAGTAAGGAGATCTGAGAAGAACAACTTTCCAGCGGTAAAATGGGAAAGGGTCTGGGAAATTGATGGCTAAACTTCGCTTCGCAAATCCTTCTTCGGGGCCTACACGAGAAGCTACACACACACACACACACACACACACGCACACGCCTATCACGTTTATCCCTTCCGATTCACTGAAGCGCCAAAACATACTCCCAACCAAAATACTGTGAAGACAAAAATTCTGGAGAGGACTTCACCAAACATAAATGCCCCAACCTCATACTTCTCGCATGCACCTATTCTGTCTGCAAGGTACAGATGGCGCCTATGTGTTGGACATGGAGTTGGCCAAAAACTCCGTCACGTTTCTAGGGGAATCTCAGCGCTGTGTGTTTTCCTTGCGCGGGTTCCCCCGGACACGGACCCCCCCCCGACCACCTCCACGCTCGGGACCCTAAGGGGAGGAAAGGCGTGACAGTCCCGCGGGACTCACCCTTGCTCCTCCAGAGCCCCCCCCCCACGGCGGCCCACGCAGGCACCATCAGCACCTCCTAAGCACAAGCAAGTTCAACGACGCGCTCGCAGGAAAGCAGCCGGCCCCTTTCCACTGTACTTGGTGAAGGAAACCCCAAGGGATGAAAAAGTTTCAGGCGGCCCCAACCGAGCAGCAAACGCGGGCTCTCTCACCAGTGGCAAAGTCTAGGGAACAGGTAACTAGAGAAGGCTCTGCCTGTGGAATCCAACCCGCGAAACCACCTCGGGGAGCCGCTCAGCGTCCACAGCCCGAAGCTCCACTCGTCAGCCCGCGCCTGCCCCGCGGCCGTCGAGCCCCCGGGCGCCCGCGGCGCCGGGCCGGGCCCGCGACCTCCCCGCCCGGCCGGAGCGCGCCCCGAGGGCGAGGCACTTACCGCACCGCTTGCACAGCACCCGGCTGACCTCCTTCTTGAGGTTGCGGCCCGTCTCGAGAGGGGGGAAAGAGGCTCGGAAGGCGGCCGGCGCGCGGCTGCTGCTGTTGGCATCCGGCTCCATGAAGAAGATGTACCTGCTGTCCTCCTTGAGCCGCCCGCAGGAGGGGAAGGCGGGGTGGCCCCAGGCCCCCAGGCGCACGGTGAGCAGCGAGTCCTTCTTCAAGCCCCCGGCTTTCACCGCCCACACCTGGTGCACCTTCACCAGATAGGGCGCCTCGTCGTCTCCGGGCTCGCCCGCGCGGGGCGCCAGGGCGCTGGGCCGGGAGGGCTCGGTCCCGTTGGCGGCGGGCAGCGGGTCCGGGCCGGGCGGCCCCCGCGCTCCGGGCCGGGCGGGCGGCTCGCGCTCGGCGCCCCGCGCCCGCGCCCCTGCCCCTGCCCCTGCCCCTGCCGCCGCCCCCGCCTCGCCCGCCGCCGCCGCCGCCGTCCTGTCGAGTGCCCCCTGCTGCCGCCGCGGCGGGTGCACCTTTCCCTCGATCACCACCGCGGCGCGCTGAGCCAGCTCCTGCACCGAGCCCACGCTGGGCGGGGACGAGTAGCACACCGAGGCCCCCGCGGGAGCCGCCTCGTCGCCGGCGGCCGCCCCCGGCGCCAGGGCCGCGGCGCACAGCAGCAGCAGCGGCAGCAGCGGCAGCAGCGGCGGCGGCGAGCGGGCGGCGGGGCCGGGGCCGGGGCCGGGGCGCGGGGCCCGGGGGCCGGCACTGCCCGGGCGGCGCGGGGAGCGTCGCCATCTCATGGTGTGAGGTGCGTGCGGGCTGCTGGCTGTCGGTTCGGACTGTGCCTCGCTCTGTCGCGCTGCCTCCCTTTTGCTCTCCTCCTCCCCCCGCACCGCTCCTCCTCCCCCCTACCCTCCTCCTTTTATTTATTTATTGGGGGGGGTGTAGGAGAGTTGTTTATGGGAGGAGGAGGAAGGGGAGGAGGAGGGAAAGGAAGAGGTGGGTGGAACCACCGAAGGGCGAAGAGGTATAAGGGGGAAAGAAATTAAAGCAAAATAGAAAAGAAAAAAAAAATCCGCTGCCACCGCCTCGGTTGCTGGGAGTGACAGGTCCTCCCGCCGCCGCCGCCGCCGCCGCCGCGCCCGAGCCCTGCTGTCGGGGCTGCTGTCACAGGAGGAGGACGTGGAGGTGGAGGAGCTGCTCAGCGGGTAACAGTCCTTTGTGTGCAGGGATGCTGCGGCGGCTGCTGAGGCTGCGAGCGGGCGGCTGGGCGAGAGCGCGAGGCAGAGAGCCCTGGAGGCGGAGTTGCGTGCCTGGAAATCGCTGGGCGGCCGCGGCGGCGGCGGCGGCGGCGGCGGCGGCAGCGCCCTGCGCCCCGCCGGCCTGTTTACCTGTGGTGCGAACTCGCCCCGCACCCCGCGGCCCCATGCCGAGCCCGAGCCCGAGCCCGAGCCCGGCCCGCGAGTTTGTCCCCCGCGGTCTCGCCGTCCCCGCGCGCCTCCGCCCGCTCGGGCGCCCCGACTGCTGCAGCGGGAGGCCGGGCGGCGAGGAGGCTGCAGTCCGAGGGGGCTGCGGAGATGCGCCGGGGAGCGGGGGCGACGCTTCAGCGCCCGGGGACCTGTTCGCCGGCGCAGGACGTCCGGCCGCGGCGGGGAGCAGGGCACACGCGGGCTGCGGGCCCGCATTTCAGAAAAGTTTTGGGTGAACTGGATACTTGAGAGTCAGAGGGGAGCAACACGTTCACAGGGGACCCGCCGCAATGAGAGCAACTTTGCATCACGCTCGCTCGCCTGCGGACGTGCGCACACACGTGCACACACACGGGGCTCCAGGTGAGACGCCGCCCTCGCTCGATCCTCGGGGGACACCGGAGTCTCGACCATCCTTGCCTTTTCGTCCGTCCACACCCTTGGCTCCCCTTGATTTTAGGACATGTGTGGTCCTGCTGATACGAGCAAGGTTTGGGTAAAGTAGTTGCTCAATAAGGCAATTTTGTATGAAGTTTATGACGCCTCGTCCGCTAGTCAGTTTTGTTGAATGACTAAAATGAAATGAGAGCTGCTTCTGTGACTGCTGGAACAGAAATCTCGGACCTGAGCAGCTGCAGGTTGCATATTCCACCTGAACGCCCCACCACCCCGACTTTACCCTGCTCCCTTCTCCCCTCCCCCACCCCGCCCCGCCAGATTTCAGGAGCTATTTTAAGACAGGAATTCGTCCCCCAGGCGTGTTCTTTTCAAACAAGTACCACGCCACAGAAAGAGAACGCATCTTCAGCATTAAAAGAAAATGTTTCCTCTTATGCTTTTTTATGGTGAAAAAAATGTATTCAATGACCTCATAAAACTGAGTTGAAGTTGTTATCCAATGGCCAATAAGTCTACTGGGTGAGAATCGAAGATTTTAAAAGCACTCTTCATAATATCTTTTACTTTAGGATTCTACAAGTTGCTTCTAGCAGCTTATTAAAAGTGTGCCACTTAAGTTTTAGATTTTTTGGTGTAAAAATAAGATTTATAAGCCACAAAGATTTTTTTTTTTTCTTGGCATAATATAGTTGGCTGGGAAACAGTGTGCCACTCCCTCAAAGTCCAGATTGGAAGGACAGGGTCTTGATGCTTATTGTGTTTCAACTGTGGGAATTCCTATTTCTTATGCCCTGATGGTGTGCTTCAAGAGAAGATCCCCCATGTAGCAGCATAATAGTGCAGGTCTGGCCTCCAGTATGTTCTCTTTAGCGCTGGTGCTCCTACCGATTTAGTAAAAGAAAGTGATCAGACCTCCAATCCTATCAGGTGTCTTCACTTTTCTTTGACCTGACCTCACACGTTTCCGACTCTCAGCCTTTTTGCAGTTGCAACTTTCTCCGGTGATCTCCACCTTTCAGACCTTGTATCATACCCCAGTTTTGTTGGCCTAAAACAACATACATTCACTTGGCTCAGGATTCTGCAGGTTGGTAATTTTGACCGGGCTCAGGTAAGGGGATTCTTCTGTTCTCAGTTGGACCCACTGAAGGCTTTGCTAGGGTTTGAGTAGACTCAGATGGCCTAAACTGAGACAGTTCATCTCGAACAATGGGGTCTCTTTCCTTGGACAAGCTTAGTCTGAGCTTGTTCATGGCAGCTGGCCATGTTCCAAGAGAGTAGCCATTAGCATGCAAGCAAGGCCTCTTGAGGCCTAAGGTCAGAACTGACACCTGGTCACTGCCACCCTTACAAAGCCAGTTCAAATCCCAGGAGTGGAAGGGTAGATTCTCTGAATGTGAGGAACTGAAAATTTGCCTCACCAATGGGCAGGGATATCAGAAGGGAAAGAATTGTGGACATTTCTGCAAACAATCCCCCCTCGACAGTAAGCTTCCTTGGAGGCCCACCTGTCCTCTGGAGCCTTTCTTAAATACTAGCTACTCAGGATCCCTGGGTGGCGCAGCGGTTTGGCGCCTGCCTTTGGCCCAGGGCACGATCCTGGAGACCCGGGATCGAATCCCACGTCGGACTCCCGGTGCATGGAGCCTGCTTGTGTCTCTGTCTCTCTCTCTCTCTCTGTATGACTATCGTAAATAAATAAAAAAAAATTAAAAAAAAATACCAGCTACTCAGAGTGATCGCTCCTTGCGTGTTTGCAGTATGTCTCATGCCTCCTCAAATTTGATCTTATTTTACTGAGCGCACATGCTTCAGCTTTACCCCCAACACACCAACTAAATTGTAAGCTTGTTAAAAAGCGGGAACCATAGTTTCCCCATTCCCCCATGTTAAGGCAGTTTTAATCACTCAATAAATGTCAGCTGATTCATCACGGACTGATGTGGTAATGTGATGACCATGCATTACCCCAAAAGTACCCCAACACTGTCACAGGGAGATGGAATTCCAGGCAATAAAAACAACAATAAAATTTTAAAGCACTGGCTTACAGTCATTAAATTGCAGATACCTCCTCTTAGTATTTTACAAAGCATTTTATGTATGATTAAAAATAAGCTGCTTATGTTTGTTTTAAAAAAGACTTTTTTAGATGTATTTTTTTAAAGACCTTTACCTAACTCCCACATTTTCTCCTACTCTCTCAGCTAAGTGGTGTTAAGGGGGTAATTCTTGTGGGTATTTTCTGTGTGAAGGTAGGCCTTCCAAGAACAGTTCACTGCTAAGAACTTTTTGCTTATGTATTTCATTTCAGCTTTTGTATTGGAGTCCTCATTTTTGAGGGCACCCACACACTGAAGGGATGTTACCCTTTTTTGCCCTTATTTTAAAATGAAAGGGAAATGGCATTTCCACTATGATTAACATAAGGTTGAAAAGGGGTATGAATAATTGTTCAGTGTGTTTAAGTGCTTTTCAGAAAAGGGACAACTTAATTTGTCCACACCAACATTTTAAAAAGAGAAAAAAAGCTCATTCTCATATACAACCTAAAACCACGGTTCTTAAACATTAGTGTGCATCCGAATCACCTGTGTATGAAAATACACAGATTGCCAGGCCCCATCCCAGAGTTTCTAAAGCAGTAGATCTGAGGTGAAGCCCAAGATTTTTGCATTTTTAACAAGTTCCCAGGTGATACCCTTGCTGCTGGTGGAGAGACCACACTTTGGGAACTACAGCTCAAAACTTTAAATTTATAAACCTCAATAGATACAGCATAATAATGCCATAAACACACTCAGGGATTATATTAAAATATTCGGTGTTCCCTCCATCATGTATTTTTTCTTATCTCAATTTTGCAAAGAAAACAGAGGTTATTACAGTCCGATGCTTTTTAGCAGATCTGTTCTGACCAGTTTAAGAAGGCACAGATGAGCACTTACTGAATCAAAAGTATGTGTTTCCTTGAGGACTTAACCTTGGAACCAAAAGAAGACTAGGCCTCAGAGCAGTTGTCATCATGTTACCTGGGAATATTTTATCTGCTTAACTAAGGAAAGAACAGATAAAATTATACAGGTACATGTGAAATAACAGTTTTACTAGTTTAGAAAATCTAAAGAGGAAGTCCACAGGGCAATGGTGAACTCAAAAAGTTTTCTCACCCCCAGCATTTATACATGATTAAATACTTCTAAATGGTGGCTATTGAAGGGGCAACAGGAAATCCACAGAGGCACTGCTATCTACTTTATCATCATTGACCAACAGCACACAGAGTTCACACCTCCACCATAAATCATGAAACAACTATACTTCTGGTGCTGGAGTCCTGAAAGCGCAGTCTCCCAAAGAAGCTTCACTTGCCTAGCAGCTTGTCTTGGAACGGGGACCAGGGTCCAGAACAATTTAGACACAATTAACAAGAAGCTGGACTTAAAAGAAGAGCAATTCAAAGGAAATGGTGAATCATAGACCCATGGAAGCCACCCATGAGCAGCAACGTGACAAAATGTCTCTACTGAAGAGTGGCTAGAAAATTGAGGAGGCTTTATTAAGTACCACATATTATATGAGTCTTCAAGACCTGGGCCAAACCCCTTGAGTCTTAGACACTGGGGGAGGAGGGAGGGCCTGGTCACCTCTATCAACACACCCATCTGTCCATCCATCTAGCCATATATTTAATTCCATAATTTTAAAATGGCAATACTATGTGGCATAAGGCAGGAATACAGACATGAAAGGTGTCTGCTCTGAAGAAACTCAGAACCCAGGGCCGCTAATTTGCATACTTTGGTCTGATGTGAAATTCTGTAGATTTCACATATTTCAGCCCAGTTGAGGGAGAGGAAAAAGAATGAAACCAAGAGGTTTTTCTGATTTCTTTTTTGTAATTCAAGACACCTTTAAACTTTGTGTCAGGT